TTGTTAGTGGAAGAAATAGTTAATAATACCAGCTACTACCATGTGACTATTTGCAGAAACGAGGATATACTAGTTATGAGAATCTTGTTATGAATGTATATATATATATATATATATATATATATATATATATATATATATTACAAAGTATTTTTTGTTTTCTTCCTGCTGGTATCCCCTAATAATCCAATATAAGGTGTATTGATAATTGTTAATCTTAAATCACTGCATTTAAGGAATATCAAAAGAGAAGGATGCACATTACCCAGGATGTTGCATCCTCTTTCAGGGAAAGGATTAGCGCGTTTCTATTGTAGGCGAGATAGTTGTACCATATCAGGCAGAAATGCCACTTTGCTATTTTCTTTATTTGGAAATTCTTTGTGGTTTCAGGAGCGGTGTATGGTTTACAAGTTGACAAGATGTGGACAGAAATGGTCTGTTTTATGTGTTAATATGACTAGACGACAGACCCTAGTTATTCAAACACTCATCTAGGGTATCTGTGAAAGTATTTTGTAGGTGTGATTAAAGTCCATAATCACTTGGCTTTAACTAAGGGAGATTATCCAGTATAATCAGGGTGAGCCTGAGTTAATCAACGGGGAGGCCCGAAGGAGAGTGGAGGCTTTCCTGAAACGAAGTTCTGCCTGTTGATAGGTGCTTCAGTTCGTGCTCTAGAGCTCAGCCTTTACTCTGAATTTCAGACTTGTCTGGCCAGTCTCCACAGTCACGTAAGCCAGTTCTTTCAATAAATCTCTATGTACATACTGATTTTGTTTCTTTGATTGAACTCTGCCCGATACAGCCACCAAATTATTTATTTTGAAATGATGACATTAACAGGAAATAAGTACACATGTGAACTTGTCTTGGAGACAAGCCATGGGGGATGGAAAACTTTATTGAATTCTAGAAAGATGGCAACTCACGTTCTGCCACTGTAAATTTTTTGGTAAATCTATGACAACTGTGAAAATCTGGAAGGCAGGAAATGGGACAAACCCTCTTGTGCACTGACTGAAGGATAACACAATTCCTCTATCATGACTCATATGTTCCTGGCCACTATTGACTGGAAACATCTAGAAAGAAATGAGGTCAGAAAGGAAAGGCATAGTCTAATAAAGGCATACTCTATTACTATTTAAAAAAAAAGAAGAAAAGAGAAAAGAATGTGTTGCTTCACATGAAGAAGGGAAGGGGATAGAAATAATGCATGAATTGCTAGGTAGATTTTTATGCTTATTTAAATGAAGACATAAACACTTGGAGACACACTTTCTAACAAAAATTTTGCACATAGTTAGGAAAAGTAAAAAGCCAACTTGAATTGTGGCTTATAACCTTTGGTTTAAAGTAATGATTACATTAAAACTTTTACCAACAAATCATTCCTCTATTATTTAGGAAAGCATTCCTGTAAACTGCCACAGGAAAAAAAAATGGTGTGTTCTTTTGCAACAGACAACTGATAAACTCAAGATATTTTAGTTAAGATCAGAGAAAAATTAGGCATAATGAATTGGGAGATGGGCTAATGATACCTGGAAATAAAATGCAATCAGATAGGTTAATTGGTCTTTGGGTGTGTTTTCCTTTCTCAGCATAATGTGTATGCTATTACCAGGAAATTCACAAGCTTTAACTAAAAAAAACTTATTTTTTTTTGGATAAAAACAATATTTTGTGTATTCCACCTTCTTGGATGATATCCAGATGGTGAAACCTGCTAAGAGCTATAGTCTCTAATGCCCCTACAAGTTAGGCCAGGCAAGGGACATCCAAGGATCTGGTCTGTTCTTCATCCAGGAAGCAGAAATTGACCTAATTAGAGGGGAAAGCATCCTTGTTAATGGGAGCTTTACCTCAAAACATCACTCCAGCTGAAGCTTGTCATGTTCCAATGAATGAGTGTCCCTCCTCTTTTTCCATATCATGAGAGGATATTTATTACAGGGATTTAATCCCTGTTCCAACTGGCTCATAGCATGGGCTTTTTGTTCTTTGAAAAATTGGTCAGGAAGAGTTATATCTGGATCTTCCAGTTACTTTGAGTATGAATGGAAGCTTTGGGCTTAGAAAATCTTTCATATTGTGCCTGGGGAGAAGGGTAAGATTTATGTACTTTAGGGATGGAAGCTAATAATTTTGACCTAAAAGATGGATAATATATTTTATGGGGGTCAGATATTTCACGCCTAGTCTCATGGCACCAGTCTACTCAGGCCATGTCTTCCTAAGGGATTATACTTTCCAAATTATTGATTTCAGTCTTTACTTGTAATTTCTTTCAGCCAGTGAACTATGAGTGAATTTAATGAGACAGTGTGTGCTATCTCAGCAGAATCCTCCATCTTTTTGGGTCATTGTTCTTTTCTCACTACCATGAACCTTCTCTGTCCTAGGTAATGGTTCCATTCACCTTAATTCCATTAATCCCAGAAGGATGTGTGAGAAATAGCCATTCTGCTGCTTAAAGACAGAGATACTTCTGGGAAATGTGTCCTTAGGTGATTTTGTCATTGTGTGAATATCAGAGAGTGCACTTACACAAATGTAGATGGTCTAGCCTAGTACACATCAAGGCTCTATGTTGTACCACCATCTAGATGCAGTCTGTCATTGACCAAAATGTTATTATGCAGAGCGTGTCTGTAGGCTTTTGTTGAGGTAAGCCATTACTGTTTGGATTTCATTTATTACCATGATGTAAATTGAGACTAAGGTGATGGATATATTATACAAATTTGCTTTTTGGTTCTTTAAGCTCTGTGACCAGAGTTAAGTCTTTATTTTATTTTATTTTATTTTTTTAAAGATTTTTACTGGGGAATTGCGGGGATGGGAATAGCGCTGGGGAATTGGGGGAAGGGGAACAGACAAGTTGCTGTCGTTTTGTTCCTCAGTCTAGTTGTGGAGGACGTCGCTTCACTGGCCCAAGTTGGCAACATCATTGCACTCCTCCCAGGCGAGGCAAATCAGTCGCCGGCTTCTGGACTGCCGCTCACTGCGGCTGCTGGCTGCTCACGGTAGCCCATGGCAACCCACTGCAGCAGGGGCTGCAGCCTACGCCGTTGCAGGCAACTCAAGGCAGCCCAGCTCCAGGTTGAGCTGTTGTTCAACATCCTAGCTGTAGAGGGCAGCGTCACTGGACCTCACATATGGGATCCGAACCGGGGCCCTCTGGCATCCCAAGCCAGCTCTTAACTATCATGCCACTCGGCCAGCCCAAGTCTTTATTCTTAAACAGTTATCTGAACATTCCCATAAACCCATGTTATAATTTTTATAGCCCTTCCCCCGTTCTTTTTTTAACCGCGGTAATTTTTTTGTGAGATCAGAAGGGCATGAAATCTATTTTTGAAATGAAAAGTCCCAAGAGACTGTCCTGGTCTCGAGTGTGAAGCCTAAGTGCAGGTACCAGTAAGACAAGATCCAGCATGTCAGTCCTGTGAAGATGTTTGCTCAGGTGGTCACTTGATGTGTGGAAAATGAATCTCCTTGGACTTGAGAGATACTCAGAATGTTCCTACATGTGGAAGAAAAGAAGGGATCTATACAAT